ATTCCAGAGAGCAGAACTATCGATCATTAAGAATATTCAGGCATGCCATTTCGCAACGGAATTGGATTCAGGCATGAAGGGTCTCTCAAAAAATAGCCAGCTCTATCAATATAAGCCTTTCTTGGACGATGATGGAATCATTAGGTGCAAATCCAGGCTGTCAGAAGCCTGCGAGATATCATGTGAGACAGCAAACCCAATCATATTGCCGGGAGAGGACGAAATGGTCGATTTGTACATTCGATGGATTCATGGAAACTTATGCTGCCACGCAGGAAGCATTCCAGGCATATTGCAGAGGTGTAGGCAGAGATTTTCCATCATCCGACCGCGTAGAGCAGCCAGAAAGGCAATAACGAGTTGCAGAGTATGCGTGAAATACAGGGCTCAACCGGCGGCGGAATGCGTTCCACCATTACCTTTTCGGATCGAAACCGCGCCTGCTTTCACAGGAGCTGCGGTTGATGCAGCGGGACCATTCCCAGTCAAATCGAAAGAGGGAATATTCCCAGCGCTCATGATGCTTTTTTGCGACCCAATCTCTCGGGCAGTCAGGCTAGAATTGGTGCTAAATCTATCGACCTACGAATTTCTCCTCGCGATGAGAAGATTGTACAACAGAAATCAAACGGGGGCGATCCGTTGTCCGGGTTGGTAACTTGATCTGAGTTCCAACTCTGTGGACGGGCGGGAACATCACCATCATCCGGGTCTAGGGATGGAGCCGCATCCAACGCCGTTATGAGGTCCGGGATTGAGGGTAGCGCGTACTGTCCATTTCTGATGCGAGAATGAAGTGTTAGCAGCTGACGAAAACAGTAGAAAGCTGAGGCCGCAGCCTCATCGGAGTCACCGCACGCGCGCACGCTGCGGGAACTTAGACGAAACAAGTCCTGTGCTTCGTCGGGCATCGTCATCCACAAACGTTCTCGGATAGCTTCCCTCCTGGGAGCCGTTTCGTGGCGAAAATGGGGCGAAGTGGTGTCCAGGTACACGGTGAAGAAGCCCCCGGGGGACGTGTAGGAACTTCGGTTACGCGGGGATGGTCGTCGGGGCACATTATATTGTGCAGCCATGGTGACTTCGGAGCGAACGGGATGGTCGGAGTTCGTTGCACAAAAAAATCGCGAAGCCAACTCTTGGAATCAAGTGAATCGGAGCGCGAGCGCTCGCGAATATAACGGGAAGGGGGGCGCGCTCATCGGCCCAGAGGGACTTTTCGGAGAGCATGGATTTCAAATAGAAACGCGGCGCGAATCCGGCAGAGTGGAGTGGGGCGTACCCCGACCAAATTCCGTCAGATGAAAGTTCTGTGGTTTCTTGCATGTTCAATCATTGCTTAGTTATGGCAACCCCAGATGCCCCAACAGAATCGCCTCCGCGATTGGCGGGAGTGCGGCGAATCGAATTCTAGGTACGACTGCGGTTGATCTCAGGCAGAGATCGGAGCAGTTCCAGAGCGGCGGGCTGGAAAACCACGCTACCAGAGTATCGATATTCCAGAATATATTGGAGCTCACTCAGAGCAGAGAGATAAGGAGAAGATTACAACAACGAGCGCCAGAACCGTCTAGCGGAATCCAGGTGGACCAGCCAGTCGTCTGCAAGCATTGCAACTTGCAAGTGCAACGGGATCGTAGCTGCGTGCGCGACCCCCAGAAATCTCATAGAAAACCGGTTCACTGAACTTCACAAGGAAGGCCGCGGCCGCAAAATGTGTCATTCAAGTGTTGTCCTTTCAATTCCCAAGAGTGCTCAGAGAGGGGTTTTCTACAACACCAACCATTCTTTCGAACACTCCGCCCCTCCATGGGCAGCGAGCGCAGTTGAATATCCACTCGATCTCCCGACCCCGCAGAAACTCCGTCACATCCGCCCTCTTTGCAGTGTTGAACAATCGTTTGATGTCGGTGGAGCATTTTGCGAAACTACTCCCGTTATCCGAGATGAACCCTTGACAATTTGGATAGATCGCAAGAAAACGACGAAGAGCGAGATGAGTTTGGGGAGCCGACATACAAGGCACGGTTTCTAGGTGGAGTGCTCTAGTCACCGTGCAGGTAAACAGCGCCACGTAGGTCTTGAATGTATCGGCGCGAAGCCTTGTATAGAACGGTCCGCAGAAATCCACACCCGCGACCGAGAACGGAGCGGGCAGGGTAGATCGCGACTCCGGGAGGGGCGCCTCAATTTGAGACGCTGGCGCACCCTGACGTCGGCGACATACCACACACTG